CTGAACATAATTTTAAGTGTATTCGTAGTGGATCCCATTTCGATGAAAATGTAAAATTCTCGATTTATTGGCAACGGATAAAGATCATACGAAATTTTTTGTAGCGCGCAAGATCATAATTTTCGTCAAGGAAGATTTTGCAACGAAAAATGAAAGAGACTGCTTTCAGATTGATTGAAATGAAACGATCCCACCGTACAATTAGAAACATGAATTTAAGTAGTACGCTATTATGCTATGACTTGCATTTGTTGTAAAATGTATATTGGGTACCCATTTTTAGATTTTGCCTAATTTCATTCAAATTCTTCTAACAAAAAACAAAATAAAAAATACTTGTTTCTTTTTACTTTTGAAAAACTGTTCACAATAAAGTAATATACTTGAGAGTTTATGAATTTAAACGAATATATTATTGAATACACGCTTTACTTAACATTTGGATTTGTACTTAATGGTCGCCAGTTCATTGAAAAAAATCGCTGCAATCTTCTCTATAAATTCTCTATATTTAGTTGAAGGTAAGTAACCAATTTCATGGTTTTGAGCAGTGTTCCTGTCACTGGATTTTATTCACTGAAAAATATAACTTGTGTAAAAGGATGTTCTTTCTTTGAGATAATCAACAGACCAAGAAAACAAACAAAACGATGAACGATGAACAACAATTGGCTGAGATGTTCAAACTTACCATCGATTGTTTCGAAGAAGTATTCGACTATTTATCGCTGAAGGATTTGGCAGCCATGGGGCAAACTTGTAAACGAATGCAACGAATTGCGATAATACATTTATAAAGGTGATTTTTACATTGGCGGTATCAAGATAAATTGTTTCAGCAACATAATTCAAAACATATTCCTTAAAGAGAATTCTACACACAATCAGACCATGAACTTTATAACTCATTTGAACCATTCAACATCAATAAAACGAATCATTTAACAATGACTCGGATTAATGAAATGGAAGCGATCTTTTTGAAGAAAATCAATTGGACGCATACATTGCTGCATACTCAAATGTAAAATATTCATGGTTGAGCGTAGAAATAAACGAACACCAATGGGTGCATCGAATCTATCCAACATTGGAACATATTGAATTGCAGTGCTTTGATTGAAAAGACTCAATGAAGTCCCAATTGAGTCTTTACTGGGACCCAATTGGGTCTTCATTGGGTTTTTAAGTCCCAATAAAGTCCCAATTGAGTCTTTACTGGGACTTTATTGAGTCTTAAAAACCCAATGAAGACCCAATAAAGTCCCAATGAAGTCCCCATTGGGTCTTTACTGGGAGTTTATTGAGACTTAATTGAGTTTTAAGATCCAATAAAGTCCCAATAAATACCCAATCTATGGATCTAATGGCAAGATTAAGAATAAGGACTACTATTTTATAGTTTATCGCATCTTATTCATTTAAATTTATTGTTTTTAAGAAGAAATGTCCACAGAACAACTATGGATTATAAATTTAAACAATTATGTGGTTGAGTACACAGTTTACTTAACATTTGAATTTGTACTTTTTAGTTGTCGCATTTCATTGGAATGAAGTGTCAAAGTGATTATCAAGAAAATTCAATAGAAGAGAAAAAATACAACAAAACTGCACAGCATTCGCCGCTCTATGTTCACTTCACTTAATTGATGGTAAGAGTTTCACGTTTTTTCTTCTTATTTTCGTCAGTGATTGAAACTAAACTATTTGGATACTCGGTGATATTATCGGTAACAAAGAAAACTTATTTTATAGACTTGCTGTGATGAGGCGATATACTAATACACTTTATTGTGAAATATATGGAAAACAGTGTGCTATGACAATGCTGTCAAACATATTATTCATTATATCAATTTTAACATTCCAAATAATTCTGTGTGTATTAAATGAATATTTTTTTATTTCATATTATCAAATGACCGACAAAGCAGGCACATGGCCCACTTTGGTCGGCGTTTTTGAATCAAAAACAAAACGCCGACCAAAGTGGACCAAATGCCAAGACGACGAAATCGAACGATGAAGAGAATGTAAACGAGGAACAACAATTGGCTAATATTTTCAGACATGAGAATGAATGCAACGAATTGCCGGCCATTGCAATCATTAATCTGTGACCGGCAATTCGTTGCATTCGTTTACGTGTTCCACACAAGCAGAATTCTGGAAGAATACCGACTCTTTAAATTTTTACAATAAAACTCATTGATTTTTACCCATTGATTACTGTTGAGAGCAAAAAAACTCTCTACTTGCATTTGTACTTATTTACTGTCAACATAAACAATATGCTCAATTCAATAGGTCCATTGTTGTACATTCGGAACATTTCATTCGCAATTGTATCATAAAATATCTGTGAGCTCAGTGTAATCACTGGATAATGGTTAAGATATTTAGATAACAATATACGCATCAGTTGCGTATATCATGTATCGTATAAATGTTTCTATATCCGTATACAAATGTTTTGACATTTCAATTCGATTCAATTGCTAAGCCCGTAATTTATTTCTACGCAATTTCATCAAATACAATAAAGTCTATCCTGATATGGTGTCTCCAATCAACTGATGGTATTTTTTTAAAAATGTCGTCCGGCGAAGATTTTGAGTAAGTTGCTTTTAAAATAATAAAAAAATAATCATTAGATTGAAATATTGTTTGTTTTGTCATTTTTGTCCCAAATTAATCGATTATCAATCACAAAATGTTCGATGAGTCATTTCTCGTTTAACTTAATTTATTTCAGTTTTTCGTATGAATCGCTAAGTTCTGTTGCAAATAACTTATTGAATCGTACAAAGCATTGCCCAAAAATTGGAATAATCTGTGGTTCTGGTCTTGGTTCGTTAGCCGAAAGCATTGAAAATGCCGACATTATAACATATCAAAGTATTCCAAACTTTCCGGTATCAACCGTTGAAGGACATGCTGGAAAGTTGATTTTTGGCACAATAAACGATGTTGCTGTGATGTGTATGCAAGGTCGATTCCACTATTACGAAGGATATCCATTGACCAAATGTTGTATGCCAATTCGTGTAATGAAATTGATTGGTTGCCAGTATTTAATTGCAACTAATGCTGCCGGTGGATTGAATGAAAAATACAATGTTGGAGACATTGTAATTGTCAAAGATCACATTAATCTTATGGGTTTTGCTGGTAATAATCCACTACAAGGACCAAATGATACTCGATTTGGGCCGCGTTTTATACCAATGAACAACGCCTATGACAAAACTTTAAGAGAGCATGCCATGGTAATTGGTCGTGAACTTGGCGTCGAGCAACACATACATGAAGGTGTGTATACATGTTTGGGAGGTCCAAATTATGAAACCGTAGCTGAGCTTCGTATGTTGAAAATTCTTGGTGTCGATTGTGTTGGAATGTCAACTGTTCATGAGGTAATTATCGCTTTTTTTATTCTTGAAAATATTTTTTTATATTTATTTTTGACTTGTTTGTAGGTGATCACTGCCAAGCATTGCGATATGAAAGTTTTTGCGTTCTCCATTATTACAAATAAATGTATAACAGAATATGACAGCCAAGATGAACCTGAACATGAAGAAGTTGTTGAAGTCGGCAAAAAATGTCAACGCATACTTGCCGAACTTGTGCGACGTTTAATCATTCGAATCGATAATGAATGAAATTAAATGGTTCATATTAAAGTTTTTTCTCACACCTGCCACTTGCCGAATTTTTTTAGCACGAATTTTTTTGTTGTGTTTTTCATGTTGTCTCATTATAACTTACCTTATTTAATCTCACGTTGATTAGTTTTCAACCACTGCTGTCTACAATATCCATACTCGAGTTTTTGAAGTTGACGATTTAAAGGGGGCAAAATAAAAATTTAAAGCCCTGTTAATACAGGATAGAAATGATTGTATACATTAATAAAATTTACAAAAAAGTTTTAAAAAAACTTCGCATTTATTATAAAATACATCTTACATAAAATCACACATTTCAAATCAAATGGAATAATCAAATTTAATTATCTTTCAAAAGCTGAATCAGCCTCTCAAACAAAATGTCTGCATAAATTTGTGATACATAGAGCACTCGACGATATAAATATGAATTGAATTATGCTATAAAATAAAATAGTTCGGTAATGTATCCAACATTTGGATTTGAATTATAAATTGATGGTTTAAAATCGAAGCAAATGTCTTTTGTTTCAATTCGATCCCACAAATAAATATTTGTTCGACTATTTGCCAGTCTATGTAATGGCATTTGTATATGAACATTTGCCTTTGGTTCGATTTGAATGAATTCTTCAAATTCCACAAGGAATCGGTAACCGAATTGCTCTCGTAATTCAAAACAGTTTACATTGATCGGTTTCCATTCAGTGTCGATTTCAATTAATGCCACGGCATTTTTTTCCAATTTCTCCGGATACTCGGTTGTCAAGTCCATTGTAAATTGTTTCAAGAGAATTTTTTTATTGCAACAAAATTTGATTGATGCATGCGTATTTATATACGACGAATTCGATTGAAATTTACTTATTCGAGACAGTTGTTTAAATGCATTCAAATTGATAGATAAGCAAATATTTTTAAAAACAATTTCATTTTGATGGCGTAATAATTGATTGAATTTCTGCGATTTGAAATTTTGTTTATTTACAATATACGAAATTTCAATTGATTCGTCTGGCGTAAAAAAACCGTGATAATCTCTTGAAATTGCATCAAACTCATTATAGGTCATGGAACTAAATCGAATCAAATATATAGCATCTTTTAATATGGTTCGTAGGTTTTTCGTATTTTCAGCATCAATATTAATGCGTTTACATGCAGCATGGGCCCAATCAATGCATGCATTAAAAACATCAATCTCTTTGCAACGTAATGCATTCATTTTCAAAATGGAAGTGAGCACACTATAGTCACATTCAATAAATCCAGTTGTTACGAACAATTTCTTGGCATTATCCAGAATTAATTGTTCGCATTTCTCTTTTAAATTTTTCAGATCATGTAAGATGGCCAGACCATAAACCTTGCATACATTTCCCATATTCAATATAAGTTCATTAAGATAATTGATCGATTTTTCGACAAATTCATCGACAAGTGACTGTTTTGCCAAATTTAAAACATCCGCAATGTTTTCCTCTGTCATCGAAACTTCTTCCAAATAGAAAAATTGTAAAAACTCTTTGAACGCAGATGCTGATACGTCATCCACATGGATATCGCCTTCATCTGGTCTCGGTCCGTAGAATTGAATTTTATATTTTGGACTGATAGCGGCCATTACACATCGATGAGCTCGAATTTCTTCCGATTCAACGTGGAATACAACGTCACCCGTCTCGTTTCGTTCTAAATACAATATTCCTGTCGTATTTGTTACGATTGAATTATTCGTTGTATGCAATTGATTTGCCATGGTGGAAGAGAAAAATTCACGCAGAAAGTATGTTTCGTATTCAATTGATCGTTTTGTATGCTGTTTTAAGACACATCCACCATTTACACCTATGAAAAATTAAAATATTTCAAAATTTAACACTTTAATAATATATTCAATGATTTGAAGGTACCTCGATAGTGAGATGCTTTCTCAAATGAATTGCATTTTCTTCAATTGGAACAAAAACATTGATACACGAATTATTACAAAACGGAATTTTGATTTAAACTGAATCAACAATGAAAATGATACACAAATTGATTGTGATGATAGTTACGCTTGTATTGAGGTCCTTTGACAGTCAATGTCAACAAATAATAAACAAAGAAAAGCCTTATAAAATCAAACCCTATAAAGGTTCGCTGTAACAACTCTCACAATTTTCTTGACGATTATTTCTTAGTCTTATCATTTCATTACTGGGGAGGGCCCCTTGATTCAAAAATGGAAAAGCAAACATTGGGGGAATGAGGGGCAACATTTGGGGGAGCGCGAAATGAAAAACAAACGGTTCAGGATTCAAATCAGAGTTGTTAGGCATAGGCACTTTTCTTGTAAGTTGCTGCTCTTTCTTGTATTCAGGTGCGGAACTTGAAAAATGATACGGAAGAAGTGCGTGCACCAATAACTCATAATCAATTTTATTCTCGTTTTGTTATCGAATATAACAAAATTTTCATTTTTTAAGTCTAACCACTGGTCTCACTTTTTTTGTCTGACGGTAAAATGGAAGCAATGTATGGAAAAAGCGTATGTCGTATTTGCATAACATATTGAAAATACATCGTCAAAAGTTTCACAGCAACGTAAGTTTACCAGTGTGTCCATAACATATAGAAATAGCACTAAATAGTGTCGATATCTATACTATATTGGTCCACTATATATGTAAGATATTCCGCAAGACACCGTAGCTCACGATAGAAGTGAGTGCGGACGGCAAACATGTTGACGCATACACACAGTTCTTTCTACTGCCGCATGGCAATTTGTGATTTTTTCCGTCTACACTGGCTTCGATCGTGCGATACGGTGCCGTGCGGCAATATCTTTCATATATAGTGGACCGATATAGTATAGATATCGACACTATTTAGTGATATTTCTATATATTATGGACACACTGAAGTTTACATACAATTATAACAGTATTTGTCCCCCTTTTACAGACGAAGTATATAGTTTACTATTCACGGCCGAATGGAGTTTTTTTTTTTTTTTT